GACGACGAACTAGAACAAGGGCACCTTCCCACCCCGTCGGCTTTCCTGCGAGAACCGGAGGACGACTGGAATCCCCATCCCGGGGCAGCAACGCTCGGCGGCCCGGGGTGCAGATGCCACGAACTCCAGCTCACCAGCGTCCGTCCTCGCTCGCACCCCAACCAGCCCACAGGCATAGTATAGTGGAGTTTTCGGGTAATTTGGGGGCACCCGGAGACCTGTCTGCAGTGGGAACCCAACTGAAACGATGACTGCGCCTCACCTTCGTTCCCCAGAGCCAATTTCGGGCACCTGCATGCGTTTTCATCCTTCGCCCCATTCACTAGAGATTTCTCTGAAGTCCCCTGAAAGAAGTAAACTTGAAGCTTACCCTCTCTTGGAGTCGTATTTCTTGCTCCTGCTTCATCAAGGGAAGGGTGTTCATGGAAGGGAGCTTTGAGGGGAGAAAAGATCCACTATTCCTCCAGCTCAAATCCTAAAGATTGATAAAGATAGGAAGAGACGCCCCCTTAAAGCCAAACTCCACCTCATCCCGGATCACGTGACCGCGCCCCGCGCGTAGCGCCCGAAGCTCACCCCCAACACACACACACACACACACACACACACACACACATGCACGCACGCACGCACGCACACACACACACGCCCCACCTTTAGTCACCTCGGGTGTGCGTTGCCTAGAAATGCTGAAAAGCGATTAAACACAAAATACACTTACTTAGGCACATACGCACCGTGCAAAGAAAAGTAAGCACTGGTCCCCCGACTAGTCCTGGACTCCGGGAAGGCAAAGCAATTTTAAAAGGCTTTTAAAAAGTCAATGCCTCTGTGTTTTTCTTTGTTTGCAGGTCAGTGCCATCTTGTGGCCGAAGTTATACCCCACTGATAAACCGCAGCATAACCCTAACTCAAGAATGAAAGGGTTGTTATTTGTTGGATAGGAAACGAGAAACTCACCACAACAAACGTGAAACTCACCCTCCTCCACCCCCTTCCCCCTTTTATAAGTGAACAAAGAGAAAAACATTAAAAAGCAAAAGTAGTGAATCTCTGAGATAGCCTGACCTTTTAGTCGTTTCTTTCCACTGAGAAAATGTATTGAGTCAGATTTGTTCCCAACGCTCAGCTGCCTTTTTTAGGGGAACAGGAAGGGAACATTTCCCTGGTGGTCAAAAAGAGGCAATGCCATTTCCTTGGTTTTTGATCTACTACGGAACTGAACACTGAAGAAAAGAATGGGATGGACACCGGTGCGTTGGTGGTGGCAAAACCATCCTGGTGATTCAGACTAATTACTGATTTATTGATTCTAGAGGTTTTACATAGTTCTGCTTTGAAAAGCCAAAGTTGTACATAGCTCACACATACCAATTATTTGTGGGTGTAGATAATAAAATTCCCAACAATCAAACTGTCAAAAAATAAAGTCTTCCTAATAAAGACAGAGAGCAGTGCCTAGAATATACATAAAGGTTTATGTAACAACTGTGATTGTGTTCTATCTTCAGACTAAAAGCAAAACAAAATTCCAAGACATTTAGAATGGCCTGAACTTTACAGTGGTAAGACACGTTTCCTTCCTCTTGTTGTTAGACTGAATGAACACAATGTAAAGCTAAATATAAATGATAACTCATTTATTTATATACATAATAATGTACACACTATCTTTTTCAGGGAAGCTTTATAAGCTATTAGTCATTGGACAATTTTTCATAGACCAAAAGGAATTATGATCAAGAATTAAAATATGATCATGTAATAATTGAACTGCACATACATTTAAAACTCTTACTGATAGTTACACAGAGTAAACACACACACGCACACACACACACACACATTTTTTTTGGCCACAATTGAAATAGTAAGGCATAATTCAGGATTTCAATTCTTTAAAGAGCAATAACTCATTTTTCCATCCACTCTGTCTTTTCCATTCCCTTAAATCATATTTTGTCCTTATGAGCAAGTTTACGCCTAGGTTTTGATCATTAAGTAGATTATTTTTAGCTTATTGCAAGTATTTCAAATGAAATAACTTAATTTTCTACTAAGAATATATTTTATGTAAACATGTTTGCTATACCAGCAAATATTTTGCAGTCAAGAATATAATTTAGTCTACTTTTTTTTAGCTACATTTTGCATTTGCCAAGAATTCTAATAAAGACATATCTGCAAGAATGCCTGAACTGTGGCCATTGCATTTTGTCAACTTCATAGTTTTGTCAAGTGTTTCTCATAAGGAGAATTTATAAAGTTGCATTCTTGAGCTGTTAGTATCACAAGCCAAGTTTTTAAAGATCATAGTCCCATGCATTTTTTCCTATGTTAAATTTTGTCAAACACAAATTTTAAAATGTTCAAATTTTGCTTAGGACTTTTTCCAATGTGTACATTAGAGAGGTTAAACATAGGATAGTAACCACATATAATATAAAATCCTCTTGTAGTGTAGTATTATGGAAGATTTGAAATAAAGGAATCTGAGTTTCTGGAAGAAATGTGTTACTAAAGTGAAAATCTGTGTTAAAGATCATTTCTTTTTCTGCTCTTAAGGGGTCAGTTACATACTCATCTCTTTGGTAATTAAACTAGAAAAAAACCAATTTGGCTAGGAAGAGAACACTTCTGCATTCTGTGCATTTCCTTCAGAAATTTCATAATACTCTGACCAATAAAACATGATTAGGAGAATTAAACTAATGACCTCATATTTTCTTGAGTAATAGACTTGCTCTGTCATTATTTCTGAGTGGTAATTTAATTAATCCTCTATAGCTCTTAGTTTCATATCTTAAGAAAGGAGATATTTATGGTATTTTACATTCCACGATTCAATAGTTGTCTGGCTAAAATGTGTATCATTATACACGCTATTGGAATTTTATCCACTGTAATTACTTTATGGTCCCCTGATGAATTTCTGCTATAAGCATACACGTTCCTGAAATGCTTCTAGATTTTGGTACAGTAAGTTATTATAAATTATCATTCATGTGAAAACTAGAATTCAGATGATATTGATAAGGAAGATATACCAGTTGGGTAGAGTTTATGATGAAGTATGTTGATTAAATTAATAATCTGTGAACTGATTTTGTGTCAGTTTTTCCTTCTTTCTATTACCTGTTACATTTCTTTGAATCTATGATGTCACAACATTTATGTTGTGACATTATTTTATGGATACCCCAAAATGAAAAACAATGCTTCCAGAAAAGCAGTAACTTAATCCCAAAGTTAAAAGTATCAAAGTGTCAACAACAACAAAAAAAGTCTACATCTTGAAACCAATAAAACACTGTAAGAGTCTTTATTAAATTGGTTAATAAAAATAGTGTAATCATGTTATTCAATTGCTTATTTTGTGAAAATAATTAGCAGAAAGAAGCCACATTTTTTTAGTTAAAAGTATTAGTATACAAGTATATAGACAAACAATTATCTTCCTTGCATAAAGGACCATAAATAATGTTTATGGATTTGTTCTTGATTTGAAATGGGACTGAACTTTAAGTTCTCACTTAATTACATAGAGGTGGGGTATTAAGAAACAGACACTGTTGGACTAAAATTCTAGAGGATTAGGACATTAAAATTACTCAGTAGAATCTCCAAACATTTCCTCACAGATCTCATCTTGTCAGACTGCTTTAAATTATGATTGTTGCCATTCCCTTCATATTTCCATTCAAAGAGGTGGAGTAATAGCAGCTGTTGAGGAGGACAAGTAATGCCACCAGAGAACTTTCCCTCTTCAATGACAAAATGTCCATCTTGACCTAATCCCACCCCTACTCCAGAAATCTAAGGCCAGAATTAGAACAGTTGACATAGCCAAAATCAGAAGATCAGACTTGATCACATGATGTGAAGCTAGTTCTCATTCCTGAGATAAGGCAAACTTTCCCAAAGGCTGGATAAGGATTCTTTATGTACATCTAACTAATATAAATGAGCAGAGTTGGTGTGACGTGTTCTCAGGTAATCACTGGGCTAGGGTGATCCCTTTATTAGCTGTTTCTATTCTTTCCTCAGATAGACAGACAATAAATACACGAGCATGGACTATGATACAATCTGACCTTCTTGAGCCAGGAAATAGCTAAGCTGTCATTCTCTCTACTAGGATGGACATGAAAATAATTCAACCACACAGACAACTACAAGTTCAAAGCCTTAATTGTTTTTTAATTATTCTCAGAAATTTTGTGGCACCAGTGACTCCCAATTTCTCTCCTTTTAGAAGATAGTTTCAGAACTCACCCTTAGCCAAGCCTCCATTTCATAGACTTAATTTCAGTCGACTCCTCCTTCCTTCTGAGGTGATTAAAACTACTGGGCACTGACTTTATAACGCCCAAATCCCATATTTTGGTAGTGGATCCTCGAGATCAGCTGTTTCACCCTCCAGCTCCTTTGATTCACCCTCATTTTTCCAAATACCATGCCTAGAGACTGGACACGCAGTCCAGCGTAAATCTCTGAGCTGTTTTATGTCACTGAGTTTTGGGAGGTTTGTCACATAATGATAGCAAAACTATCAATACTTTACTTGCTTGGTTCAACCATAAAATGAAACAAAACAAAACGCTCAGTTCTTCTTTATGGTAACTCTTTCACCAGGGTCATCTTTCCTGGGTATTCAAGAAGATGGTACATTTAATTTCTCTTATTAGCTCTGCAAATATGGTACTAAAATTGCTTTAGTTTTAGTGAGCAGGACACCAATGGCCAAAGTAGGTGGACCCAACTCCTACTTTGTTGCATCTATTCTTCATGTTACATTTCACTCTCTTGCCCACCTTTTTCTCCTGGAATCATCTTTATCTTTGACTTCACTAACTACACCCTTCAGGCATTTTCCTTTCTTCACTGACTGTTCTTCAGTTTCTTCCCCCACCCCTGCCCTGAATTGTTGTCTCATCTCAGTCTCCATTTTAGGCATTTTTCATCCTAGGATCCTGTCATCGGAATGGGTCAGAAGTGGGCCCTGTGTATTAGCCTACGATGATCCCTATATTGTTGATGTCTACAGATCAGGCTAGGACTACAGCTTTAAAGCTAGTTAACATCAAACTCTAAGACCAGCCAAATAAATTTGAGGGTACTTACTGCCTCTTGTGTGCCTGTGTCTTCCTGGGAAACCCCACATTTACCAGAGATCTCATTACAAATCTTCTCTGTTTTTTTTTTTTTTCCATTTCAATATCCCCTGTAATCCATTACATGCATGTACACTCATAACCCTAAATCTCTATCTAAAGTATGGATCCCTTTGACAAATGAGGTTTCCTTAGCAAATGTACTTCTCAGCCGGTGGACCTGACCTCAGCCAGTGTCATCAGCTCCCTCTCAGAAGCCAGAATCTGAGAATTGCTTCCATTATTTCCCTCTCTCATGCTCTCAAATTCAACTGGCCACAGAGTCCCATTGATTTGAATCCATAAATATTCCTCAAGTGTG